TTATTTTCTGTAAAGATTATATATATATATATATATATATATATATATATATATATAATCTTTACAGAAAATAACCATGGGTTTCGCGCGAGGTATGGAGACATAAAGGGGAAAACAAAAACAGGCAACTTTGGGAAAGCCAAATTTTGTGTTTGTTTATTGCACACAATTTTGACATTTTTCATTTTATTTTTGGGATCACCCACAGAAAAGGGTGTATTCAGGCCATTGACTTCGGCTCGATGCCTTATCCCGCAGTGTCCCAGCCCAGCAGAGGAGCCCCGACGGAAACCACATCCGAGCACAATCTCTTTAATCCTCTGTGCAACGTCTTGGCCTGTTCACCTCGTTGTTTCTTCCATCCCGGACCAATGTCTGCAAATAGCGCACGGTATGGCAGACGTTGCTCAGCCATTAGTACGACGTGTCCCAGCCACCTAGGACGATGCGGTTATGGATAAGTGATATTGTATAGGATACTGCTGACGTCAAAGGAACAGCTGGACTAAGTGCGTGTAGCCGATTAGTAACGTATAAGATTCACAATCCCGCACTTATGAGTTTGACTCGCTGGATATGGATTTCTGGTGATTTCAAACAAACTAGATGAAAAACTGCACAGTGTTTCTAAGGTTTTTCAGTGGAATGTGAGAACCATTGATAAACCAAAGTTTGAACATCCAATCAACTAATAAAATCAGTACCCTGCACCAACCATTACAAGGCTGGAAAAGATGGTTTCAGTTTCAGTTTGTACAACCACTAACCGTGGACTTTCGCGCACTGGTTTTGGTTGCTATCTTTTAGATGCCCATTTGGATTAACAGTGGGAGAAGTACAGGAAGGTTGGAAGTAGAATCAAGGGAAAATTTAGAATTTCAGTGAACTAATGTTGCAAAGAAATTGATAAGATGCACGAACTCCACTGTTTACGACTCCCAGCCACATCACTCAATGTCTCTAACCATTGATTACGCTGATCCCGAGGTTCTCATCCAGGTAGCTTAACATGACTTATGTGACCCACAAGCCCGGTTAGGGATTTCATACCCTCATGTCAGGTTTTAGTTAGACCACCCTTGGAGCTTTATTCCACCCACTACCTGCTTCGGCGACTATCGCTCACCGTGGCAGCCCATTTGGTGACATGCGTAATACGCCCCAATCAACGTATTCCACGGAGGTCGATCACTTGCTACAGTGTGCGATCGCAGTTGCCTAAAGCTCTGCGCCTGACCTCAGCATTGCTCGTCTGGCCGCCCCACCAGATTCGTGCAATGCTACGTAGACAGCAGTGTTCAAACACCGACATTCAGCTTAAATGACAAAACTCCCGTCAGACCACTCAAAATTATATCCAAAGGCCAAATGGAAATCGCAACTGAGTGTCCCGCTCATCAACATAAATACACACAGTACACGAATTTCCGGAGAGTGATTTTTATTACGCTGTTAGTCAGATGGATTTCACGAACGTATTCTCATTCTTCCACTACTTCTCACTATTGATGCCGTTGGCTTAGTGAGGTGAAACACTGAAGAATGCAGCTGAGAAGGGTAGAAGTGAGAGTGAAAGGGAGGGACGAGCACCCTCACAATGCAAGGCGATCTGTACCGATTAGACTTCTATCGCATCACGCATATACATGCGTGCGTTTATTGATTGCACAACACAGACAACATTACGTACACATACATCTGCAGCGAGCGGATGAGGCATGGGGGAGGGGCGTGTTGTGACCTGCTCAAAGTTTGTCAATGGGCCCGCATCCACCCTTATAAGCGGGGACACAAAACCCAACCGTCAGGTGACCAACGGGCAAGTGATTCCATGAGCCATAGACTATAGCTCCATATCAGTCGTGTGCTATCAACACATCCGGACCGAGCACATTCACATGCATCTAGCGAAACGGAAGGAAAACGTAAAAGCTTTCTGTATATATGATTTCATATCTAATTTGAAAATATGCGATGGTGGAAACTTATAATGCTCGTTATGATCGGGTTTATGTGGGCTACTGGGTGGCAAACAACTGGGTTTTTTTGGTGAAAGTAGCAAAAAAGGTGGACATTGAATGGAAAAAATCAATAATTTGGTACAGTTAAAGTCAGACGTGAGCCGATAAAACGTTCTCTCCAGAGCTGTGTAGATATTATTTATTCACAAACAAAATTATCTCGCAATGCATACAAAACAAACTGCACGGAAGTCCATAGTGTGTTATAATGTGTTACTCAGTCTTTTGAGTCCCGAGTCGACCAAGTTTAAGGTGTAAACTCTTTGAATTTTAGGTTTTCCGTTACGATTCTGACCCAAGACAGCCAAAACGAGACTGGATGTGAATGTGTCCCCTTCTGTGATAAGCAAAGCAACCAAATTTTCAATCGAGTTGAGGTAGTAGTTCTAAGGCAGTTTCCATGGTCTCATGGCTTAACAGTAAATGAATATTATGAAATATTTTCTTTTCAACTAAACACAGTGTGGAGAATGATATGATGTATCATCTAACAGAATAATCAATTTTTGAGAACTTTTGTAGACAGTTTTAACACGAATTACTGTATGCTTTGTACAAAATTGGTGCTGTTAGTGCTTCTCTCATTAGCTTTTCATCGATACAACTACTGTTGCTTTTATTTTAGCCCAAATAATCAAGGGAGTTGAATTTTGTTGTCGATGGGATTTAGTACTTTGGGAATTTTCCACCGCAACCACGTTGGGGACGCCTTGTGGACACTTCCTGAAATTTTTTAGTTAGAAGGGAAATTGCTTTTACAACCACGCTCATAAAAGTAGTTCTGAAAAATTGATTCTTCTGTAGAATCATGCATTTTTACGTGAGGTTTGTTTTGCATTTGGTCAAGACTTAAATTTCTTAGTATTTAAAACAATCAACCTCGAATTGCGACTACGGTGCATTTCTATGAGATGAAATGATTCGTCAGCGGTGAAATTTCCGAGTTTGGAGTACATAGTTCGTGACAAAGGTATTGTATTCCCTAGGGGCACTGTCTTTTAAAGCCAGTTTGATACCACGAGTATCGGTCATTCCGTATGAAAATTTCTACATAACTTCTCTGTAAGATTTTGAATCATGTCCGTATCGACAGCTTCTCACTTTCTAATCAATTCCGCTTCCAATTACTTTTTTTGTGTGCAAATTCTTGTGTGTTGGCACGTTTTCCGGATAGGCGTAGCCCAAATAGTTTCTAATGGCTTCGAGCCTGGGCTACATGTAGGCCACATCACTGTTTTGATACGGTAAATTAATAGCCCATATTTTGTTACGTACAAACTATCAACTGTGGTATATCAGAAAATGGCTTTCAGATGGCCATTCGATGCAGTATACGAATATATTAATCAGAATCATGGCCCCGGCTCAAGAACGAAAACCACACCACCAATCGTATACTGAAGTACCACTTACTATCTTTTTTTATTGCAAACTTTCGTGTGATAAACAGCAGACGGCGAAAGTCTCATAGTCACGAGGACCTGCTGTTCAGTGATGAAAACCGGTTACCTAATCCCCGGGACTTGGAGTGGCGAACCACATAGAGCCCCTTGGGCAGATCATGGAAGTAGTATTTTCAATGAAACTGAAATAAAAATTATACTTCTTTTTATAAGTTACATGAGTTTCAAGTGACATAAAAATGTTTTTCTGTTTTTTAAGTTGTTGGAATTAGGCGCCTTCTTCTATTGCTGTACTT